AACATTAAACCCTAATTTTTTTTATCATCCTAATATGAGAACATGCAACTTCAAACAATATTTATTTTCATCGTTAAGAAATAATTAAAAAAAAATTTATCATTAAATGCAATGTCTGAGTACTAATTAAAATGTAAAATATTATTTCTTGTGTTCTGAAATATAAGTCATTTAAGGTTTTTAAATGGGTATTAAAGAAGCAATTAATTTCCATAAATTCTAACAAAATTAATAATAATTTGACCAAATTATCCTTTATCCCACATTGGTACTCCTATCTCACATCATTACATTATATTTAATATAAATAAAAGTAAAATTGAAAAAAAATTATTTATACTCCTTAAAATATTCAAAATAATTTATATTTTGGGATAAATTATTACCGTAAAATGACTTATATTTTAGAACAGAGAGTAGGATCCTTTGATAATTAATTGAAATCAATATGAATTTAGATTTAAGTGTAAAATCGTAAGAAATAAATATAATATCAAACTTCGAATGAGTAGCTATAGAATTGAGATAAGAGTTTTCTTTTTTATTATCAATAATATTCACATATCTTTTTGAGTGATTATTTTAATTCAAAATATAAATCATTTTAAATATTTTAACGAGTAATACATACTGTTGTTTCAATACCACTCTTATTTATATTAAATACAATAACTATCTTCATAAGTTACGTTTGATTTTTAGATAAAGATTAATTTAATAAAATTATCATTGGTTTTATTATAATTTAGGAAAATTTATTATTTCTTTAATTTCTGTAAAAAATTTTAAACAATTTATATTTTGGGAGAACATTTTAAAATTAATTAGAATATTTGACTTTAAAAAGTAAATGATAGGTACAACGCTTCAGAATTGGATGCTCTCTAGACACCGTTTTTTAGCAATTGGTGAGACTTAGGCATGAAGTTTAGGTTACAATAGAGAGCCTTTGTTTGACTTTTATATTCACATTTATTGAAAATTTGAAATCTCACACAAAATCTATTAAATAGACCGAAAACATGTCATGAAGTGCATGAGAAAATTGGAAGAACGAAAAACAAAAAGTCAATTAATTATGATTCATATCATACACTTGCCGGAGTTGACCAGGCACATGAATTAGGGTTGGATAATAATCAATAAAATCAATTCAATTATTTAATTTAATTTTTCGGTTTAGTTTATTTTTAAATAATTTTAAAAATTAAATTAATTTAATCCAAAAATTAAGTTTTTTTTCTTAAAATTCCAAAGAGTATTTAAACCACGAAATCGAATTGAATATTTGATTATTTCTTTCATATAAAATTTGATTTATTCAGTTCGCACTAATTGTCAACTGAACCGACATTTTATACTAAATTCTAATCTCAAAATTAAAATTTTAAAAATGAAATATCGAAATTCTTAATTTTGAAATGGGATATAGTCAAGGCTTCAATTGGAAAAAACCACATCACAAGTGGCTTATTAGTCTACAATAGCAGATATTGACTAAGAATTTGGAGGTTTTGCACCCCCCTGAGTTATTGACCAAAAATTGTTTATAGCTCCTTATGTTTACACTTTACACATCGACAGACGTTTGATTCAACAAAAAGCATCACATGCCATGGAATCCCAAGTACTTCTTTCCATATTAAAATCCATTTTTAAATAGAATTAGTAGCTTTTCAATTTTGTCAATAACGTATCATCTGATTAGTCTTCTCGTTAATATGAAAAATTTGAATTCGAGTTCGAGTCCGAGTCCGAACCCTTTTGACTAGAGTTTTCACCAATAATTTATTTTCTAAAAAGTTAATATATGATTATGTACTCAAAATTGTTAATTGGGTTATTATCAATTTTTTCTTTATTGCTTTTAACCGAAGCTTATTCAAATTTTATAGACATTAACTTAAAAAAAAAAATCATATATAGATACATATTACATTTATTCCGTTTATTTTATTATTTGAATATGATAATATAATAAAATTTTTAAATCAATTATCAATCTAATATGTCCAATTAACTGTAAAATATTTTTATGTCTATTTTTATATTTATTATATAATTTCTGTTATATTTTTATGTAAAACGCACGTCAAACGTTCATCTTTCGACTTATTATTGTCAATAATTAATGTATTAATTTTATTTTATTTATTAATTTTAGTTTGATATTTATGTTATTTTTTGTGCTATCAATATTATTCATTATCAATTATAATTGAACTTTCAAATTCTTTAAATCTTACTTTGTTTTTTATAATCTTAAGTCTAACGATTCATATATTTAATATTTAGCTTAACTTAATTTTTATAATTATTATTATTTTTTACTTTTAATAGAAAATTATTATTTTTTATACAAAATTATTATTATTATTGTTGAATAAATATTTTCTTATCCTATAACAAAATCGAATTTTATAAGTAGTTATGAATATTTAATTTTTGGATTTATTAATAGTTTTATTTAAATTCTACAGAAAAAATATAAATATGGAAGAAAACCAAATTGTATTAAATATTTTATTTAATTATCAATTATTTTATTATTTTAATTATATTATATTAATTATTGTGTTCAATTATTTTTTACCGGAAGTTAAAATAACGATTGATTATAATTTTTGATAAATAACAAAAGAATTGAAAATTAAATAACAAATATCTAAAAGGAAAAGCAACACATGCAACTCACAATTGAATACTTTACTAGTAATATAAAATTAGCTCTCAATTATTTATTTAAGCCCTTTCTAAGAAATTCTTAGGGGCATATTTATGTTCCCATTGAATTAGACAATTGTTACTAATACAATAAGATAAAAATTCACCCAAATTTTCCATTAAATATAATTAAAAATATTTGCTAACATTGGGAAAAGAAAAAGTTAAACAGGTCCTTCAAGTTTAAGGGAAAGACTTTTTTTTTTTTTAATTTATAGGAAGATTGAATGGACCGAAATAATATTACGAGCTACACAATAGAAATAGTTTTTCCCTTGATTTACTAATTTGATGAAAATTATTGTGGTGGGGAAGACTAGAACACAAAATCTGTAACTCACACAAAGTTCAAGATTAATAAGATCATATTTGATTAACGAGGAAACACGTATTTATATTCTCGGTGCTTGTAATTATAGTTTACTGTTTTAATCTTTTGGCCAAATGGTGTCAAATTATTTGTCATAATTCATTGATCACCAATGATATCATGCCACCTCAAATGAGATGAATAAACAATCTTAAAGATAAAAAAGGGGAATGAGTAGAAAATGTAAAAATAATGGGACTTCATAAGCACTACTCTTATTTATGACCACTTGAGGTTGTTGCCTAGTAAAGGCTTTGTCATTTGCCTTAATGGTCAGGGTTTAATTCTTTATTAGTGCATCTTGTTATACATGACGTCTAAATATTAATTCTCTCCATGAGTCCATCCTATTATGTATGATGTCTGAATATTGACTCTCCTGTTAAAGTGGACTTATAGCAATCCTATGATCCTCCAGAAAGAAGATGGGGCCTCCCCACCAGTGCACAATAGAGGTGTCTTAAATCAAGATGTCAACAATTGACTAATGCACTAGTAGTCTTCTTTTTTTTTTTTTTTTTTTTTTTTTTTTTTTAAAAAAAAATGCCTCCAGAAAGAAGAATGGGCTCCCACCAGTGCCAATAGAGGTGTCTTAAATCAAGAATGTCAACAAATTGACGAATGCCTAGTAGTCTTTCTTTTTTTTTTTTTTTTTTTTGTTTTTTTGTTAAAAAAACTCTTATATATGAAATTTGATGCCTTAAATTGAAATTATGTTGCAAGAAAATGAACTAATGAGGTGCTATTCCATGCTAATTAGTAAGCTAAAGTATCACTCGCTCGTACAAAAGGTAAGCAGAGAAAGAAAGCAAACGTTGTCAAAGTAGATGGATAAAATTGTCCAAAACGAATTGATTATGGATTCCCACTAGAAAAAATCATAATTCTCTTTCAACAACCTTCAATCTTGGAAATTAGAGGTTTGTGATTTTTTTTTTTTTTTTTTTTTTTTTTTTTTTGTTAAAAAAAAAAACTCTTATATATGAAATGATGCCTTAAATAAATTATGTTGCAAGAAAATGACTAATGAGTGCTATTCCCATGCTAAATAGTAGGCTAAAAGTATCACTCTCGTACAAAAGGTAGCAGAGAAAGAAAGCAAACGTTGTCAAATAGATGATAAATTGTCAAACGATTGATTATGGATTCCCACCTAAAAAAATCATATTTCTCTTTCACAACCTTCAATCTTGGAAATTAGATTTGTGATTTAAATTCAAATCTTTGGTTGAAAATTGATTTGATGAATAAATATTTGGTTTGACTTCATACCCAAGCTTTAAATAGGGAAAATTTTCAAAACAGCAAGGTTAATTTCATACAATGGTATTAACTGGTTCTTGAGGCAATGAATTGGTTCAATCTTCATTTTTTTTTTTTTGGTTAAAACTGAAATCAAACCAATTTTTGAAAAACCAAATTAAATAGTTTATTTCGATTCGGTCCGGTCCACCGGTTATGCTCAGCCCCCAATTTATCTAATGTTTTGTCTTGTAAAGGAAAAAAAAAGCTTTTCAAGTGAGGCACAAAGCTAAGCATGTCTATTGGTCTATCCAAATTTTCAGAAACGGCTGCTTTCACCAAAACTTTTAAAGTCAGAAAATTATACTTATGGATAGGTTAATGGGAGCAGCCAATCTTTCCATATTAACTCCACCAAAAGTCAAAAGTTAAAAAGGCAGAAACACGAGGACATTGGGATAAGACGATACATTGAATTAGAAAAGAACAAATCCAAAACCATCACAATTAAGTAAATGAAGTTCTTGGAACAAAATTCTGAAAATAGCATTTGTAGATGAGACTTGTCCATTTATGCCAACTTGAAGGTGTTACAAAGTAGCTGCCTGCTAAATGTTTCACAGAAGATAGGAAAAAAGATGAACATTTACAATCAGAAAAAAAAAAAAAAGAAAGAAAAATCAGAAATTTTATTTTATACATGCTGTGTGTAAACAGTTTCTCTTCAATGAAAAGTAAGAACTGATCTTCATTGTAAAAAATTACAAAATCTCAAGTAACTGGCTAGCTCAGCTTGGTTAGAGTCTTAGCTCCCTCTTTTCCAACAGTCGAGAGCAGCTAACTTCAAGAAACAAAGTATGGAAGTAATATTTACAACAGGATAACTATTTCATAAGTAAAGCACCAATGAATTTGGGTTCGTATAACTTGACCATATGTGAATGTCTCCAGCTCCACTCTGTCTTAACTAATAGCAGAAGCTATGTCGTGATCTCGATGCTGTCAAGCCAAGAAACCAGCTGCATTGTTGAAGGCCTCACTTTTGGGGATTCATTCAAGCATAGACAAGCAATATCAAGAACCCATAGTAATTGCTTATCATTGTCCTTGCCGTAAATGAATGGATCAAAGACCTCACTTTCTCTGTTCTCCTTCTTCATCTGAAGCACCCAAGAGATTAAATCCCGCGATCCCTTTGGCTTGCACATGTCCATTGGTCTTTTCCCAGTAAGAAGCTCCAAAAGAACAACTCCAAAACTATATACATCCCCTTTATAGGTAGCAACAGAGGCTTGGCCATACTCTGGAGGAATGTAGCCTAATGTCCCTACAAGATCAGTTGTCACATGGGTATCAGAAGGTAATATGAGCCTTGCAAGACCAAAATCTGCTAAATGGGCTTTGAAATTTTCATCTAAAAGGATGTTACTCGACTTTATATCTCGGTGAAGTATATGGGGATCACATGATTGGTGCAGATAAGCTAGCCCTCTTGCAGCCCCTTGAGCAATATGTACCCTGGTATTCCAATCAAGTAAGGATGGTCCATCAATTTTTTCATGCAACCAATAATCCAAGCTACTGTTTTCCATGTAAGAGTATATCAAAAGCCTGTCATTTTTGAAAATGCAATACCCTTGAAGATGGACGAGGTTTGGGTGCTGAGCTCTTGACAAGGTTTCAACTTCGGCACGGAATTCCCTCTCCACCTGACCACATTCACCAGAAAGCCTTTTTATTGCGACCTTCCTACCATCAGGGAGTGTGGCTCTGTAAACTAGACCAAAACCCCCACAGCCAATGATATTTGCTTGGTCAAAATTGTTGGTAGATTTCAGAAGGTCATCCAAGGAGAGCTCTTTATAGTTCTCCATATTTTGGAACAAAATCACTAACCTTGATCCGATTTCCTCCAAATCTTTATCATTGGTGTCAACCCCCTCTTTTTCAGGATCAATCTCTCCTTGGCTGTGTGCCCGCAACACAATCATGAGCATGAGAACAAGAAGAAAAACTGTCCCAAGTACAATACCAACGGTCATTCCAACAATAATATTTTTATTCCTTCTTGATTTCATGGGTGCTTCACGCAGAATTACCTCCGTGTTTGCACAAGGAGGTGTACCATGGTCACCACAAAGATCATTACCTTCAAAGCTTGAGTTAGGAAAAGTCAGAAACTGACCTCCAATAGGAATCTTCCCACTGAGATTATTATCAGCAACATTGAACTTAGATAGAAAGCTGAGATTTACCAAGGATGAAGGTATGTTCCCCGAAAGATTATTATGAGACAAATCCAGCATCTCCAAGCTAGTCATCCCTGATAATTCACTTGGTATTGGCCCAGATAATTTATTATATTTCAAGTCCAAAAGATGTAACTTTTTCAAATTCCCAAACTCTGGCCAGATTGATCCTGCAAGTAAGTTATGACTGAGAGCCAGTGTTGGTGGAAAGCTCATAACTTGATTATACTGCAATGCCCCTTTATTTTCATTCCTTTTCAAGAAAAAAGGGAAATCTGGTGAAGGCTCCACCAATGAGATATTCCTGCTGATGAGGCTTGGCAATTGAGTCAAGCTCTTTGGGATCTCCCCAATAAGCGAGTTGTTTGATAAGTCCAAATAAAAGAGATCGGCAAAACTACCGAACCAGATTGGAATAGTTCCATCCAAATGGTTCCATGACAAATCTAGCAACTGCAAATTAGTGCTATTCCTCAACCAAGAGGGTATTGATCCTGTGAGTCTACAACTAGCAATAACTAGTACCTTCAAGTTATCAAATTGGAGACTAGGATTAGCAGGCAATTGTTCACCGCGGAAATTCAAGGTGAGGACTAAAGTATGTAACCTCTTGCATTGCTGCAAGATTTGCAAGGCAGATGAAAGATTATGGATACTAGAATTTGACAGAGAAAGATAAGACAAGCTTTGGAAATTCTTGAAGCTTTCTGGAATTTGACCACTGAAATTGTTCCGGGCAAGGTTAATATTCGTCAAATTCTTACAAGAAGGAAGATTATCTGGCAAAACTCCTTTAAATTTGTTAGAACCCAAATCAAGCGAATTCAATTTAATCATGGCAGAACAATTAATAAGATTAATATCACCTTCCAATGAATTATTCCTCAAATTTAGCAATATAAGCGAAGGAGAATTAGCCAAAGAGAGAGGTATTGTACCATGAAAATCATTAGAATGACCCAAGAAATACTTAAAGTTGGCCAGACCATGAAAAACATCTGGTATAGTACCTGAAAAATTATTACATGAAATATCCAATCTTTCAAGACTCTGTAATTGGCTAATTCCATTGCTTAACTGCCCAGAAAGCTTATTGTTTTGCAGACCCAACAACTTGAGTTTCTCCAGCCCAAATATATCTTCAGCTATTCCACCAGTAAGATCGTTCATGCCAAGACAAAGATGCTCCAAGGAAGCACACTTGCCTAAACCTGGTAAAACGACACCGGAGAAGAAGTTAACTGCCAGACGAACTACCCTAACTTGGGTTGAATTTTCACACAAGTGAGTAGGAACTGACCCACTTAAATTATTTGCCGAAATGTCAAGAAGAGACAGAGAGGGTAAATTTATGGTACGTGGGATTGAACCAGTAAAGTCATTAAAGCTCAAGTCTAAGGTTTCAAGTTTTGGCAACTGAAACAAAGAGAAAGGAAGCGAGTCTTTCAGAAAATTACGGGATAAATTTAGGGTAGTGAGCTGATCCAAATTTCCCAATGACTCTACAATTTTCCCTGTCAATCTTTGATTTGGAAGTTCAAGCTTAAATACTCTAGAAGAAGAAGGGTTGCAAGTTACGCCTGACCAGTTACAGCAATTTGAAGATGAGGAATTTGTTTCCCAGGCTTGGATTGGTGATTCCAAGCCATTGATGAAATCCTGTAAAGCTTTCAAATCATTTCCGTCGCAGGTTAAGTTTTGAGTTTGACAATGAAGGATTTGAGCTTGAAGGCATAAACCAACAAGAATAACTATGACCCATAATAAATCTTGGGTATCCATAGCCATCTAATAGTAAATTGAGAACACAAGACAGCTTCACGAAATCAGAATGAAATGAAGATTGTTGCAGCCATTTTTGTTGATGAAGAAAGTTGAAGAGAAAGAAGAAAGAAAGGTAAAGAGAGGAAGCAAAATAAAAACTATTTGGTAACGGTCCGTGAAGAAGAGGAAGTGAAAGCAAGAAAGAAGAGCGGAGAGAGCTGTCAAATAGGTAAATGGTGGACTTTATTTTTTTTTTTTATTGGAAATGGTGGGCGTTTGACTTCAACAATCAAAACACGCAATTGGACCTCACTCTCTAAATTATATATTTTATTATATTTTGATTGATTAATTGTAAAAAAAAAAAAAAAAAAAAATCCTCCAAATTGTTACTTTTCATACTAGCCTAACCGGTTCACTGGATTGATGGTTTCGGTTCATTGAGATAAGGAACCGGGACTTGCCGAACTTGGCCGGTTCTCGTCATAATTTCAGTTCCAACTGCTTCGAATTTGATTCCTTATCTTTATTCTTTTATTATCTTTTAATTGAAAACGAGCAGTTCAAAATAATTTTCTTAGGGGTTCAATCAATTCCCATCGATTTTGATTCCAATCTTAGAATCGAAACCAATTTAAAATCTTCTAGAAACTGACCACTCTAGACCTATTTCGGTCTAGTTATTTCGATCCGACCCGTTCAGAAACTGGCCCGCGGTCACCCTTCCAATTATAAGTTAAGTTTTAAATTTTAAAAATTAATTTATCTTAATTAATTAAAAATATAATAAAAAATTTATAGTTATATTTTAAGTTTACCACTAGGGATGGCCACGGTTCCGTAATCGGCGGTTCCGGTTCCACAAAAACTGGAACCGGAACCGAACTGAAAATTTCCGGTTTCGGTTCCGGTTCTGGTACGGTGTCAAAACCGACGGTTTAAGTGTTTTTAAGATTTTAAAAAAATTAATTTATCTTAATTAATTGAAAATATAAGTTTTGTACTTTTTTTTTTTTTTTTTGCTATATACAAAAATTTATAGTTGATATTTTAAGTTTACACTAGGGATGGCCTACGGTTCCGTAATCGGCGGTTTCCGGTTCCATCCAAAAACTGGAAAACCGGAACCGAACTGAAAAATTTCCGGTTCGGTTCCGGGTTCTGGTACGGTGTCAAACCGACGGTTTCCCGATCGGTTTTCAACTGGTTTTTCCGGCAAATCGCAATAATTTTAAATTTTAATTTTTGAAGGACCAGGGTTTGTCAAATTTGGTTAGATAAATTGTGTGAAGGGAGGTTATTTGTAAAAAGAAAGTACACCTAAAAAAGTTAAAAGAAATAAGCTTCAATTAAATTTATTTTTTTAAAGACTTAAAACTTATTATTTTTTAAAAAAATTATTCAACTGAATTTTATTCTCCACTCTGCCATTATATGATAATAAGATAAATTTGGAATAAATTGAAATAAAAAAAAAATAGAGAGAATTAATAAATCTTAATAAGAAGAGATTGTAAGCAGAAGAAAGAATAATATAGAGTAGAGTGTAAGTATATTTGTAGAGAGAGGAGGAGAGAGAGTAGAGATTAATATAGAGTAGAGTGTAGTATATTGTAGAGAGAGTAGAGAGAGAGAGTAGAGATTTTTTTGTGATGAATTTGTAAATGAAATGAGGTGTTTATAATAAATCCAAAAAATTATTTTTCCAAAAATACCCTTGAAACTAGCCGTTATGTAGCCGTTTATGATTGTTGGAAGGGGTAATTAAAAGATTTCACAACAAAGTTTAAAAAAAAAAGACAAAAAACTGACAGTTTCTAACGGCTAGAACCGCCAGTTCTAACCTGTTGGGAGAACCGGCAGTTCCATCCGATTCCAACCGGTTTGTTGGAACCGTCGGTTGCGGTTTCATCAAAATTGGAACCGGAACTGAACCGAAAATCTCTAGTTCGAATCGATTTTAGTTCCCACCGGTTCCGATTATGGTTCGGGATCGGTTCGAACCGACGATTCGATTCCCGAAACCGTAATATAGCCACCCTTATTTACCACCAATATTAATTGAGGTGGTAAATGATCTTAATGATCTTTTGAATTTTCAAAAATTCAAAAAGTGATATCCTAATGGTAACAATACCTACGATTTAAGGTCTGTTCAAAAAATTAATTATTTTAGTAATTGTTAGTTGTTTGAATAGTATTTAGCTGTTAGCCGATTTTGAGTAATTTTTTATGAAATGCTAAAATTAAATATTACATGAGTTAAATTTTTATAACACATTTCCTTACTATCTATAAAAAATATGACAATTAAATAACAAATATGACATCTATTCATCTATAATGATCGGTTGTTTATTAAAAAATTATGGACCCAGAAGCACTTTACCGATGTTGCATACTAAATTGTGGACCAACAAAAGAAAAGAAAAAAGATGATGCAAGAGGATTAGAAGATAGTATATTGGAAAGAGATTTCAAAATTTTACGTTTATAAATACACATTTAGACACGTTAATATTGGCACATTCTATTTTACTTCATATTAGAGCATCTCTAATGCTAATGTGAATTAATTTATTTAATTGCTAGATCAGAAAAATGAATAGATGTTTTAAAAAATGTTTTTTAATAGTAATGTCTATTTTCAATGTCAAGTTGAGATGTCAAAATAATAAATATACGTCATTTACCACAACTTTTATTATAGAGAGTCTCTTAGACAATATGTATATTTATTGCTTTTTGCACATTGACTTGTGGGCCGGGAAAGAAAAGAAAAGAAAAAAAAAACGAGAATGAAAGAAGATTTAAAATTAATGCATTAAAGAGGAATTTTTAAAATTCAATAATTATAAATAGATATTCAGCCTCGTTACCATTCACACTTATTGCATATGATATATCGGTCACAGTTCACATTAATACTGTAGATGCTCTAATAGAATAGAATCAGGAGATAATCCTCATCCCCTAATACGACAAAAAAAACTTTATGACTTATGGTTTAATTACACAAATAATCGAAATTAAGATAAGTTTTCGAAATGACAAATTGAGGAGGGAAGTGGGAAATTCAAGACGTAGAAAGAAGGCTCTCTCCATTAAAGCCTAAAGATATTAACTTTTCTTGTTAAAAAAAAAAAAAAAAAAAAGAATACATTAACTTTACCGGACAAATGTAGGTTGGACCGACTATAGCAAGTAAAAAGATTCGGGCAGGCGGTAGGCCAAGATGCCGTAGGCATTATTGTAATAATTTTTTACTTCGTATACATGCTTTGTAGATTTCATTAATTTAAAATTTATTAATAGTTACAAAATATAAATATTAAAATTATTATTAAATAGTTTTGTTTATAAATAAGAAGACATTTATTTATTAGCAATAATATATTATTTTTATTTATTTAGTATGACAATTCTCCCTGGAAAATTTTTCGTTAATAAAAATATTATTATTGAAATTTGAGCAATTATCTATTTTGTGTGCTAATATTCAAAAAGCTATATTTCACCTCTTAAGTTCTAATTTTTGGTTCCGCCCCCTTTCTTCCCTGATTATGAAAAATTATGCCTATAAAAATTATCGTGTAACAATTTCTATAATGTGTCTTTTGTAATTAATATGCACTTTCAAATATTTATTTACGACTAATAATTTAATAATTTGCGTTGCACATATCACTTTTTGCTGTAAATACTCGTTATTTAATTTGTATTCTTTTTGTTATTTATCAATAATTTATATTTCTTATTATGCACTCAACAATGTTTATATATTGATAATATTGGAGCGTAAAACATCACAAATAATAAATGGTGGAATAGTCCCTCGTTTCATCAAATCAGATATAATAATTGCTTTCACTGAAATTACGAGTGTACTAATTCTATGACCTTTTAATAAAATAAACAGATGTCGCAGAAAGTTCTCTCGTGAGAATTCTACAATCATTAATCAACATACCAAGAGAAGAACAACCTAATGAAAAACTAGTTAAAGCTTGAACAACATGTAAACAGTCACTTTCAATCACCACCTTCAGTCCACCAAACCTACCCTATAGCTAGCTTAACACTTCTCTATTGCCTATAAGCTCTGCCATAGCTAGTTTAGTAACATGAGATAATGATCTCGTTTTACCTCCTACACAGTAGCTGTGCATATCTCTAGCAATCCAGCCTATACCCACTTTAAATGACACCCCTCATGGTTCATGCCATGCAACATCCACATTTACTTTAACAATATTATAAGGTGGTGGTTGCCATCTACTTATCATAGAACTCGCAGCACTAGGTACTACAAACCTCTTGTATTGCTGAGCATGCATCCATTCTTGCAAAAACACAGAGGCACAATGAAGAACGCTACCTGCTGTCCTTCGATAGCCCCGCCACACAACCTGATTCCTCAGCTGTCATAGCTCCCATGCTACCATAAACACTTGGCGAATTTTCTCTCTATCACAACTATCAAACACCTCCAGTACCAACGATTGATACTACCATGTTGTATCCTCCATTCAAAACCTGCCAGCTGCCAACATGCTATCGAAAATTGACAATGCAAGAAGAGATGCACAGTTGACTCCACGGCAATGTCACACACCGTGCACATAGAATCCACATTAACTCGTTTCTTGATCAAATTCACCTTTACAAGTACGAAACCTGCTGCCAGATGCCAAATAAAATTCAAAACCTTGGCCGGTACATAAATCCACCAATCCTTATGCCAAAACTTTGAGGTAAGCAGGGTCTGATAGTTCCACAGACTGTAGAGACACCGGTAACCAGATTTGACCATGTGAATGCCCTTCGAGTCACACCTAGTACCAGCCATCATCGACTCCATAGAATCTAAGAGGGATTTGTTCAATTAGTCGAATTTCTTGTACGGTAAAAAGCGAATGCAAGGTTTCCATATCCCACCCACCTTGAACTGGAGGCATTAAATCTACTCCGTAAACTTCATCCAAGCCTATAGTATTTGGTGAAACAAAATAAGGAATACAAATGTTAGGCAACCATGGAGAGGTAAAAACCTCAGTACCCTTTCCATCTCCTATTCGTCTCAAGTACCCGTTCCTTAATAAAGACTTGCTTGCTAATACACATCGCCAAATATAACCTGGATTATTTCTAAGCTCGACATCAAGAAAGGAACTATCAGCAAAATACCTGGCTTTGTATACTTGAGTAACTAGAGCATTAGTGTCACAC